ACATTGGAATAGGAGTAGTATCCCCTTTGTATAGAGTAGCTATAAATAGCAACCCTTGTATTGCATCACATACAATATATCAATATATATCATATTTGCTCCCGTGCCTTCTCACAGTTACGATGTACATTTTGTTGTATTGAATTTGTATTAACGCTCATACATTTAACAAGGGTACCGGCTGGATATGAATTTTACAAATTATGAACCCAAGCATAGTTTTGGTGTGTTGGATCATGGTGATCCATCCAGTAGTCATCACCTAAATGATAATGTCAATCATGGAATTTCATCACATTACGACTTGTAAGTGAAGTGATACAGCTATATGGAAAGTATTTATTAAATTCAGTAGCTTATTATTTTGTTGATTGTGCAGTGAAAACGAGCAAGTTGAACCACATGTACTCACTCAATTGCCCGAAGACGACATATTAAATCGGGATCTGGCAGATGCACAGAGTGAGGAAGAGAAGAGTGATTACGAAAACAATGTTGATGAATCTGGAGACGAGACACCCTTTCCTCGTGAGGATGGTGATGAGGAAGATGAGAAGGAAGGACCTGATTTGACGAGAGAGTATGCTCCCCCGCCCCTAGACGAAGAGTGTACGAGTCCCTAGTGTCGTTTCATTCAAGGGGGATTCCTTACCTTGATAACTTGCCAAGCATGTCGGATGTGGAAGCTCTCACAAGGGATTTTGATGAACTTCGAACAGCAATGTGGGATGAGTCTAGACCAATGGTGCTGGCAAAGGGCATGCTTTTTCTAGATAAAGCGCGCGTAAGCAGGGCTTGTAAAATGCACAACGTAAAAGAGTGTCGTGAGATGATAGTATGGGAGTTAAGTCCGGTTGTATACAAGGTTGTTTGTCGCAGGTGGTTTTGGCTATGTCATTGGATGTTGTGTGTGAGCAAGAAGAAGACAGGCCTGTGGAAAGTGGGTAAATACATTCCCACCCACACATACGAAGTGGACACATTCAACGGGAATCACTTCAACTTGGATATTGACTTGATTTCTCTTGTCCTTATTCCACACATCGAATGACGATTGTTGAATGGAAGCTTGAGCGGAGTCCGGGTAAACCAGAATATATATTCAATTACATGTTCTGGGCGTTTAAACCAGCAATTGATGGTTTTTTGCATTCTCGGCCCATAATATCCATAGACGACACTCATGTCAATGGAAAGTACGATATCAAGTTGTTGATAGCCGTGGCAGTAGATGCTAATGGACAGATATTTCCTCTAGCTTTTGCTATTTGTGCCAATGAAAGCCAAGAGACGTGGACGCTGTTTTTGAACCACTTGAAAGAGCACGTTGTCAAATAGCGTTCCGGTATTTGTCTAATATCTGATCGGCACGGTGATATCTTAAGTTCTGTGGAGAACTTGCCTGCATGGCAAGAACCTTATGCCTACCACTGTTACTGTGTGAGGCACTTTAAAGCCAATTTCCAGAAGGCATATCCCAATAAGTATCTGCATGATTTGATGTGGATTGCAGTAACAGACCACCAACAGCATAAATTCCGGAGGCACATAGAATATATCAGGCAAGAAGAGGAGGCAGCCTATCGTTGGTTAATGCGACATGACCCTGAAAAGTGGACTTTGCATGCAGATGGTGGCAGACGATGGGGAACTCTGAATACAAATGTGTCAGAGTCTTTCAACGGGTTATTGAAGTCGGCAAGAGGATTGCCTGTCACAGCCATGGTGCGGATGTCGTTCAAGCAGATAGCGGAGAGGTTTGTTGAAAGGTCTGCAGCTGCAACGTCATTGATGGAAAGGGGTGTTGAATTTATGACAGTGCCGATGAAGAGATTTGGGAAATACAGACGACGAGCACATTGGCATTCATTTTTGCAGTATGATAACGAAAGAAATGTTTTTGAAGTTCGCACCGCTATCCATCAAAATCGGGGAATAATGTACATACTGTAAATGAATCTACAAGGTTATGCTCTTGTGGGAAATGATCCGTCTACCACATGCCTTGCTCACATGCCATCAAGTGCTTTCAAAAAGTTGGTTTAGGTATCACCAACTATGTTGATCAACAATATAGTGTTGCGAAGTACCTAAACACATATTGTGGGCAGAACTATGCTTGGATTCATAATTTGTAAAATTCATATCCGGCTAGTACCCCTGTTAAATGTATGAGCGTTAATACAGATTCAATACAACAAAAATGTACATCGTAACACAAAGGAAAATTGAAGTTTACCACTCGTCTTGTGTATTATGTAAAGCAGGCGGTGATAAGTTTAGATCAAGGAAAACTCTTTCATCCGGAACCTGTCCGGCAAAAACTGTTCTAGAATAACCACCCGATGACTGGGGGCTATTCGGAACCTGTCCTGCAACCTCATTGTTGGGAACGTCTTCGACCTTGACGTACATATCCAACATTTTGATTACAAGAAATTCCCGGTATTCATCCGGAGTCCTCAGAACATCCCTCAAAGTTTCATCATCGTCGATGTTTAACTCCGAGTAAAAAGCAACCCCTTGCGGAGTGACGGAATACAGATATATTCCGGTTACTTTAAGTATCACTGAACGTTTCCTCACACTCATTTTTTTGCATAACAACAATATCAATTTATCATACTCCATTGTAAGTGGTAATTTAACATGACACTGTGGAGATAAACTGTACCTCGCAGAGTTATTCTCCATCACAACCTCACCCCCCTCCCCAACATAATGAAACTCTTATTCTACGCTCTTCAGACATTATGAAAAAATGCTTGAGAAGTTAACAAGAAGAAAAGTTTGAACGGGAGTTAGAATGTTTTGTGAATGGATTTTCCTAAAATCCTAACCCCTTTATATAGGAAATGGCTAGCCCGGGGGGCTAAAATTTTTGATGTATAGCGGCTCTTTGAATGTGCGCTATACACATTTGAATTATTGTTATGTCAGTTAACTTATTGGTGAGCCCATAAACAGGTATAGCGTTTTAATTTCAGGCGCTATATATGTATACCGTTTTAATTCCAAACGTTATACCTGGTAGTCAAGTCGTCAGAGTATAGCGCACAGATTTCCAACGCCAAAAGGTATAGAGCGCTTATTCTCCGCGCTATACATTAATGGCAAAAGTTATCGTTAAGCTATAGCGCGGAGAATTTAGGCATTATATATAAAAAAGTAACTTTTTTTTACACTTATTAACGTCACATTTGTCCAAAAAGACAATAAAAAGGTTCCGGACTCTAGTAATAAATTGCTAAAAATGACATCTACGAATTCCTAGAAATTATAGTTATGAATTTCCAGCTATCATTAATAGGAATTCCAAGAAATGATTGCAAGGGATTCCTAGGAATGATAGCTAGGAATTCCTAGGAATATAGCCACAGATCCCTAGGAATGATAGCTACGGATTCCTTGGAATGATAGCCATGAATTCCTAAAAATGATAGCTACAAATTTCTAGAAATGATAGCTATTAACTCCTAGAAACGATATCTATTAATTCCTACAAATGATAAGAACTCGAGATAGCCAGCTATTAATTCCTAGAAATGATAGCTAGGAATTGCTAGAAACGATAGCTAGCTATGCATTCCTTGAAATGATAGCTAGCTAGGAATCTCTCGAAATGATATCTATGAATTCCTAGAAGCGATAGCTAGAATTGCTAGAAATGATAGCTAGCTATGAATTCCTAAAAATGAAGCTAGCTAGGAATTTGTGATCATTCATTTCCCGTAGATGTCTCCTTCAGCTTCCGATGCATTGTTTAATTGCAGACAGATCCATTGCAGAAGTTTCTGAGTTTATGGGGTTTCCCTGTAATATCTTAAGATTTGTTCCCAACTACGAAGTAAATCTCACATTCCATGATGGTTTTGTTAAAGTAGAGAGAATGAGCTTCCTCGGACCCCGCGCATAGCCGGAGCTTAGTGCACCGGGCTGCCCTTTTTTTTTTGCAGCCTCAAACAAACCAAGACTTCAGTGATTCCATTTAATTTATTTCTCTTGGACATATGAGGCATGTCGCACTCAGGATAATATGATGAAAAGGAACTTCCCATTACCTAATAGATGCTACATGTGCCAAAAGGAAGCTGAAAGTACCTGTCACTTGCTCCTACACTGTGAGGTGGCTACAGCTATACGATTTATTTTTTTTGGGTCTCAAATGGATCAGCACTTACACGGTAAAGGATGCTTATAAGAGCTGGAGTTTATGGAGAGTTGGTAAAGCCATTAAGAAGATCTAGACGATGGGCCCTGCATGTATAGTTTGGTGCATTTGAACAAAGAGAAACAGGAGATATTTTGATGGAAACTCAACTCTTATAGGCTCTTTAAAGGATATGTGTATTGCTAACTTGTTTTGGTGGTCTGGATTGTACCCTGTTAGTAGTATTGACCATCTTTTGGATTTCATCAGCTCTTTTGATCTGGCTTAGTCAGTTACATATAGGGGCCGGGATAACTTTTTGTAAGCTCAAATGTTAAATCATGTAGTTCTCACATCTTCTTGATGCCTTCTATTGAAATCGCTTACTTTATCCAAAAACAAAAACAAAAAAAAGTTGTAAGTTGGCTTAAAAAGCATGTACGGAACACATGAAGTTTCGAAACCATTCAAGTACTAATCATTTTGAGGAGATTGACTGTACCTCAAGCAGTCATTATTTCCTAATTTACACCATTGGCAACAAAGTTTTTTGACTATATCTGTTACCGAACAAAAAATTCAGTAACTGGCGATTTTTAGATTCATTAAATTAAGCAAATTATTGTCTGCCAAACTACTACTCTAGGAAATGTCTCCTAGTCATTTGCCCCCTAATGCAAAAACCTTTTTAATTCCTTGGTCAGAGAAACAAGCAAAACATATATTATATTCCACCATCAGGTTGCGTTTTTATTGTAATAGGCTGTCATGATGGTACCATTCAAGTTGACCCAGCAAAACAACACAAACGGAATATAACGACAAACTGAATTTAGCCATTGTAACATACCTTATCAAGCAAGGAATCCTCATACACGCGTGCCTTTTGGAGACTCATATTATCTGTAGCAGCAGCTATATAAAATCTTGGCTTAAACCTTTCCATTTGAAGCACATTTAATAAATTTAGCATTTCTGCTGTGTGACCACCTGTATTAAAATCAAAGTTTCAAAAAATTAAAACAATGGGATGAGCAAAAGACAGCAAAACCTAAAAAGATACTCCCGCCGTTTCAATTTATGCGACACAATTTACTTATTAGTCCTTTCCAAAAGAATGAAATATTTCTATATTTGAAAACAATTTAACCTTAAACTTCCAATTTTACCCATATTACCCAACAAACTTTTCTAGCCACACAAATTGAGAGAACAACAACAAAAGCTTTTATCCTCTAAGCTTTTAAGATCGCACCTTCCAAAAGTCTTTCTTTTTTTTTAAACTCGCATTGCGCCAAACAACATCACATAAATTGAAACAGAGGTAGTAATGAAATGCTGGAAAATCAGACCTGAGCCCAAAACAATAAGGGCACTGAGAGGTTGTGGTGATTTTGGATTGAGCGGTTTGCTTCTCCGATATACAATATACATAATTCGAATCATAACTATTGTGACCACACCAATGGTGAAGAGAAGTACGAGATTTGACGCTGACATGGCAGAGAGGCAATAGCTCCCTTTCTCCATTTCAAAAATGTTAAGAGAAAATCTCCTAATTTACAATCAATCAGTCTTTCTGATCATCAAAATCTGCAAAATAAAACATTTTTCATTTCACTAACCTGATATATGCAAATTCAAATACCAATTCACCAATATTAGCACTAATGACTAGATATAGAATTAAAGGCAATGTGACCTTTGAACAGCAAGCACGGCCAGAGTAAATCTCAACCTTAGGATCTTTCAATGGCAGAGTGAATTTGGAATAACCCAAAAAAATTTGGGGTTTTGGGTTTGGCTTCAATGGCGGAATAAGGAGAAAAGCCAAAAGCATTTGTTGTTTGGTTAATTTAGGGATTTAGTTTTTTCTTCCTCTTGAATTTAGGGATTTGGTATGCATCTTTTAAAATCATTTGTGGTCACTTTTTTAAAGATTATTAATAAGTGTTAATTTTTCTTTTAATCAATAGGGTGAATCAAAATTTTCATTAAAAATGTCAAATTTCTTTCTTAAGTTTCATAAAAGAACTCTTTATTTGTAATTTTATCTTGGCTTTTAGTTATTTTATTTTAATATATTTATAGTGACGGGTATACCTTAAATTTCTTCAAAAACGAAACACTTCAAAATTAATTCCCTTATCTATATCTATATATTTATATCTATATATTATTAAAAGGAAAGGACAAAGTCATCTCCTTAAGCTAAGTGGCAGCCTAAAAAAAAGTCACATGGCATAATTAGTTACTAATTAGTTATTATTTTTAAATTTAAATATCTATAAAAATCTATATATTATTAAAAGGAGAGGACAAAACCATCTCCTTAAGCCAAGTGGCAGCCTAAAAAAAAGTCACATGGCATAATTAGTTACTAATTAGTTATTATTTTAAAATTTAAATATCTATAAAAAACAAAAAAATCTATCTATATCTATATCTATATATTATTAAAAGGAGAGGACAAAGTCATCTCCTTAAGCCAAGTGGCAGCCTAAAAAAAAGTCACATAGCATAATTAGTTACTAATTAGTTATTACTTTTAAATTTAAATATCTATAAAAAACAAAAAAATAAAAAATAAAAAACTACCAACTATATATATATATAGATATATAGATATATAGATATATATATACATATATAATTAACTATAATAAAAAATGAAAATATAAATAACTACCATTCAAATTGGGTGGGAGTAGTTTCAAGTTGGAGTTTCAAAATAATTTTAAA